AACTCCTTTTTGAGTTTACAACATACAGGGTTCCCACAGTCATGGAAAATATAAGGAGATTTTAAAACTGTGGAGGACATGAGTATAATCTTTATGTAATTAAAGAGTAGGCAGTGAAATAAATCTTTCTAGTTTTGGTCTGTTCTAAATATTTCTGTCTGTTGATCCAGTATATGACTTCAAATCTATTCATTTAAAAGATGAATTTTGACCTCAGAAAAAAAGACCACCTGGTAAATCCAGGTGAAGTTCTGCAAACGCATTAGCCATGCACTGATTAATTTCTCAGACCAGACTGGCAGTTAATGTCCCCATTTTATCAAATGTTTCTGGGATGGAATGAAAAAATGTCCATTAAATCATTTGATTCTGTTCGTGAGCAAGCTGATCACGTCACATGTCTGCTCATGTTGTGAGTGCTTGGTTCTCTCAGTGTGTGTGGATATGAAGCAGGACCGGTCCTGTTTGCTCGGGTCCTTTATGCAATACGGGATTAAGCCCAGAAGGAGATTTTAGAAAGTAGAGATAAAACATTAAAAACCAGCCTCTGCTAAGACTAATAGATGCTTGTTTGCATAATGTTAAAAGCCATTACATATATAACATATTTCAACAAATATTCCACGTAGTCTCTCAGTTAATATGAGAACTGTATGTATTTATAAAAGATTCAGAAATTTTTTTACAAATCTTAAATCATTGTGTCATGCATTTCCTCATCCTGTGATACTGTTCTGTCCAATTCAGATCAAAGTCTGGAAACCAAGAAGATCCTCCTGACGGAGACGATACCAGAACTGGGCCAGATGGAGTACCAGCTACTGAAATTCTTCATCCTGCTGTGAGTTTGGCTGGACATCCTTGCTATGTGTCCATGCTTGCTTTCTTACTTGCACATATGAGCACAAAACCAGTCTTAAGTTGCACGGGTATATTTGTAGCAATAGCCAAAAATACATTGTAAGGGTCAAAATTATAGATTTTTCTTTTATGCCAAAAATCATTAGGATATTAAGTAAAGATCATGTTCCATGAAGATATTTTGTAAATTTCCTACCGTAAGTGGTTTATGTTATTTTCATACTCAAAAAATCACTTATATCACCTTTCATTTGAAGCACGGGTACTGTGTCAAAAGTCTTGAATTGAAAGTCAAAAACCTGAAAAACATTTGTGGAAAAAAGTATGCGCATTTAATTATACTTCAGTAAAAAGTCAGCTTTTTTCTAAGGTTTATAAATAGATCAAATCAAGAGGTAGGGGAGATTTTCTCATTGCTTGGATGCACAAACTTGCATTTGCTTGCCAGTCCACCTGTTCCAGTAATCCGTCCCCATCGTCATGTGGCCTGATTTATGTAGTTTATGTGGTGCAGCAAGGATAAACTCACTGGACTAAACTGGCTATCCAGATCGTGCAGTGCCACGTGCACATGCCAGTGGGTCTGCTGTTTGTTTTCAGAAAAATACACTGCTCTGTCTAAAAGAGATGTTACCAGAAGAGATGTTTTAAAACAACAATCTCAACAGAATAAGATGACATATTGGGACCCGCAAATTATAATGAAACAACAAATTCAAACTAACCCCACCAAATATAGATGTTAAAAACACTGTTAGTTTTCAGAACCTTTATTTTATTACTATTTAAAAATTTACTATTTAATATTTTATATATATATATATGTAAATGTATAAAATTAATACAAATATAAAATAAACTGAAAAAATAAACAAATGCTCTTCAGTTGAGAAAATCCAAATCTCAATCTCATGGACAATATAAAATTTAGAGCTACTCTATTTATTTAAACAATGAGTCCCACACAGACTTTGCAGTTTGCATGCATGTAGCACTAGCAGCCACCATGGCCATATGTGTGTTATTTTTTATTTCCTAACTCACAAAGAAACTCACAACACTGCCATCTAGTGTCCAGCTGAACATACAAAAAGGCTCTCCGTGATCTCATCCCTCTAATTAGTTTCAAGCTAGTCAAGTATAGATACAGTGTTCTGGTCTTCTATTTCCATTTGAAGAGCAAGCTGTTTATGTAAGTCTGACTTCTGTCCCATAGCATTATCCTGCTCATCCTGTCGTCGTGTTACCTGGCCTTTCGTGTCTGCAGCCTGGAGCAGCAGCTCTCTTTTCTCAGCAACAACCCTCTCAGAGAGAGGTAAATGTAATTCCACACTGTCTTACGTCATTCACTATGGTCTTATAGCTCATTTACCAGCGCTGTCTGTCTGCCCACACAGGTAACCACTGATGGTCAACACTGCACTTTACAGGGAAGTCGGTCCAGCGCTGGCGCTCTCTCTGTCTCTGTGGCCACCTTGCAACTATGCTAACAAACTCTCTTATGTATTTATGCAAAGTCTGTCTCGGATTGTGTTAACAATAAGCCTGACTTAGGAACAGAAGACTGGAAGTGTTCTCAAATAGTCATTCTGTGTTACTGGATCCAAGAAGAAAGGATCCGACTGGCGTACACAGAATATAGACTGCAAGCCCTGTTTATTAGAGTGATGGAATATTATGGAAGGCTCTGTTTCCACCAACAAAAACTCTTCTTGTGGTCACTTGTCGCCTAATAAGGGCAAATGCATCAATCGCTCTACATCAGACCAGTTGAATGACTTTCAATAGGTTATAAATATCTCGAATATGTATAGCTCAGGATCTAATGCAGTACATTTAGATAAGATTATTTTATTTATTTATATGCAAGCCACTTGCCATGTTCTAGCTCTTCCAATAGGATTTAGTTGACAGCATCATGAAAATATCTCGTATGTCTACATATGGTGTGATCAGGTCGTCATCAGTCTTACTATGTGTTCACAGCTTAATCGGCTCAAGTCAGTGACCTGGGCAGAATGTTTATGACATATTGAATGTTTACTCAAGTCAATTTTGAAGCTGTAGAATTCATGGACAATAAAATAGTGCATTTTTATGTATTTTCCAGAGGTTATCATTGTGCTATTGTTGTTTCCTAAAGCATCCTGTACAGATGTTTAAGCTTGTAAATCCTGACATAGAAAGCAATAGTAAGAAAATAATTTATTTTCAATGGAATTGTTTATTGAACCACTAAAAAGAAAAGTCACCGTTTTTGTGCATTTAGTGGTTTAGAGGAAAATAATAAAAAAAATATTCCTACTCTATTTATTTATTTTGATAATGTATACATTGAAGGATTTTTTTTTCTTTTTCATGTCTTGATAAAAATATAAGGTTCTCATTGAGCTGCTTTCTCGGTATTTGACCACAGGGAGGCAGCGTTACTCAACTCAATTCTCAACCCTGATTTCATTCAGTTTACAATTTTAGAATTTAGAGTTTATTGTTTAGAATTTAACACTATTTAAATCATTGCATATGCTCCATTCACATGTATATAGAGATAAAAGTTCAGAGAAAAAATGCAAGAAAAGATTTAGCGGGGTAGTGGCAGATGTGTTTATTATTTTATTTACAGTAAATTATGCATGCGTGTCATGTTGTAATAAGATGGTATTTAATAACTCAATAACTCCACATTCCCAAATCCATCACAGTATGTGTGTAAAAAAAACAAAAAACAACAGATTTTCCTCTATTTTTGTGAAATAGACTTTTGTTTGTGTACACTTTACTTCCCGCTTTAGTCAAATCTTCCAAAGAACTGAAAATCCTTCTCTATGCTCATTTTGAGTCGACTTGACTATAATACCACTTCAGCTCCTTCAAAACTGGAGAATCGCATCAACCGGAAAAACCTTAAAGATAGCCCCATTTTGCACACGTCTCTCCAACACATAACCACCAGTATTTCAGAGGATCAGTTCAGAGAAACTTAAGTGTTATTAAGCCGCTGTTTTTCTTAATCTGTGTGTACAACAAGTGATATGGCGGAGGCTGCTATTTCTCAGGACCAGTTCAGCTGTCCAATCTGTCTTGATCTATTGTATACTGTTTTATGCAGGCTTATGGTAGAACCACTCGTTCATGTCATCTTACCGATTTGTAATCCTACCATTTTTAGTATCTATGAATTCGTCTTCTGATGATCTAAACGAGAGTGTATATTATATGTTGTCACACAAAGGGTCGTAAAACTCCCCAGTATTTCCAACCTCCCGCTTGGAATTTCAGCCTTTCTCATTGGACAAGCCCAACCTGAGAGGCGTGAATCTTCTCAGACCTTAAAAGGCTCACGCACAGTTCCGCCCAAGTCTCTTGATATTTTTCTTCTGCTAAGAAGAGTGTTGGAGCCTGAGCCGGTGCGGGCGTGCCCGGTGGGCTCCAACACATAGCCACTTCAGTCTGCGGTTCTGTTAGATTCTGAGAAGATGAGGATGTGAGTGAGAACGCTCCTAAGGACACCCAGGAAAGCAACACAAAATAACTGATGCCATAGGATGACTTCAGGAGATGATTTGTCATGAGCATGATAAGCTTTTGGAGGTTTATTGTCGTACGGATCAGCAGTGCATTTGTGTGCTGTGTATGATGAATGAACATAAAACCCATGACACTGTCACAGTTGCAGAACAGAAGACAGAGCAAGAGGTATGAGATGACTTTATACACTGACGGGGTCTGAAAATCATCTGACTCTACTGTCGATGATGGATCTGAGAAGCAGACCACCAAAATGACATCAGGAAAACCGAGACTTTTCCAATTACTGCATTTAACTTCACATTTTACCATATGAATCTCTGATACGCCTACATGGCATGAGACTCAGAATATTAATAAGCAGAAAACTAAGAAATACAATAGATATACATTGTTGGCACTATGCACCATGGCACTACAACACAAAATTACATCAGTACACATAAAAGCATGACTGTATATATGACTTTTTGTCACATTTCACTGGTTCTCATTTCTTTGTCCTAAGAAACACTTAAAGGAGAGACTAAAGCAGCAAATCCAGGAGATAGAGAAAGAGATTCAGGAGCTGAGAGAGGCTGTGAAGTATCATAAGGTGAGTTATGAGAAGAATGACTGCTGGCAGTAACTGAGCTTAAAGGGATACTCCACCCAAAAATGTAAAGTCTGTCATTATACACACACTCTCATGTTGTCCCAGATGTATATGACTTTCTTTATTCTGTGTAACTTAAACAGAGATTTTCAGAGAAATAATTAAAGGGGTCATATGACGTTGCTAAAAAATAACATTATTTTGTGTATTTGGTGTAATGAAATGTGTTCATGCAGTTTAAGGTTCAAAAAACACATTATTTTCCACATACTGTACATTGTTTCTCCTCTATGCCCCGCCTTTCTGAAACGCGTACATTTTTACAAAGCTCATCGGTCTGAAAAGCGAGGTGTGCTGTGATTGAGCAGCTATCCAGTGCGTTATGATTGGCTGAATAGCTCAAGCGTGTGACGGAAATGTTATGCCCCTTACCATATTGTGATGCCTTGTCCCGGCCGGAGCGATGAGACAAAAGCATTAAAACCCATTACAAACGAGGCATTTGTTGCATCGGAGAAATGACAAACAACAAGCCACTACTCTACACTGCTCAAAACTCACGTTTGAATCATCAGTGGAAAATTCTTTAAATATCAAAACGTACTTACAGGCTGTGAGTCAGCATTATTTGTCAAAACACGGCATTGTAGGCTACTCTCCCAGGAAACAGTCCTTGTCCTCCGTAAAATGCGCTGCACACATCTGAATATTTGGGTTGAAGTGTTCTGGAACAGTGTTATAAAAAAAACAACTTCACCACTGATTTCTAGTTGTGTCCTCTATTAGAAGACCAAACAAAGTAGTTTTGCTTTCACAACGAAACACACAGCATCTCCACGACATGGCGGCGGCGGCAGCAACAATACTACAGCGAGAATCAAAGTTACGCCTTCTTTCTTTGCGTATACATTTGGGCGGTGTTATGCAAATCTTCCCACACAGTGATGTAGACATGTGTGGGCGTGTTTAAACGAGGCGTTTTAGGAGGGCGTGGACGAGTCTTAACTTTTATAAAGAATATCTCTTTGGATTTGAGACTTTAGTCTTTGCAACTTTACAGATCTTCTTTATGCACCAAGAGCTTGTAACACT